ATAAGATTATCATAATCATAAGATTATCACAAATATAAGATTATCATAAGATTATCATAATCATAAGATTATCACAAATATAAGATTATCATAAGATTATCATAATCATTATCATCGTTTATTGAAAATATATAATATTTGAAATTTCATCATAATCATTGTAAATTATTGCTGAGAAAAAACAGTTGCAACAAAGAATTATTATCAATAAATCAAATTTTGAATAGCTCAAAAATTATTACAACAAATCAAATTTTGAATAGTTCAAAAATTATTACAACAAATCAAATTTTGAATAGTTCAAAAATTACAAAAGAATTTGTTAAAGTTTATTAATTTTATTTTATAAGCAAAAAAAAACTTGGCAAAAGCTTTTTCGAGCAAAGCACTCCAAAATTCATTGGATGATTTTGATCGTGCAAATAGTAATTTTCCATCTTGAGTTGGTAATAAATCATCAATAACTATTTCAATCCATTGATTGAAACGCCAAAAACAGAAACGGAATATGCCACAGTAATTGTTACTGCTTGTCCATTCTTGTCCACTAGCATCTGGTATTACCTGAATTCATTTTCGATAATATTTATTTCATAATTAAAAAGTTAGCTAAATTTTATGCTAATAAATTAGTATAATGATTATCATACTACTAATATTATAGCTATTTTTAACAAATGAAACAATTAATGTTGTTTATTTCCAGGATAATATTATTCAATTTCTTCTAGCTGGATCAAAGAACAATGAAACATAAACTGGAGACAACTTGGAAAACGAACTTTTTTAAGCAATGCTTGATGATGTGTAAGCGCAGAACAGGCAGATACAAACCAACAGTTACCAAGTATACCTTGGGTGACATCATTTGCCGTAGCACCTTCCACAAATAGCTGTGGATTGTCAACAATCTCCTGTAAATCTTAGCTTGCTTAAATGTAAGAAAGAGAAATTTGATCAGAGATGATAGGTGTGAAAAAATTTCGAAATTGAAAACATTCATCAGATTCTTCCTTCTTTTCTTTTCTACTTCTTTGGCAATAAAATAACTCATTTCTTCCATTTCTGAAATCATGTTAATCAAGATATTTGCGAATATATGAGGACATTTTAAAAAATTAAATGATAATTAAATTTCAAAATTAATTAACAATTATAATTTAAAGTGTATTTGGGTTAATGATATAAAATGCGGAATTTCTTGGTATTCTGCGCAAGCGGTTATTACGATAACTGCATTTTTCATCGTAATATTAAAGATTTTATGGTACAAACTGGTGACCCAACTGGTACAGGTGAAGGAGGTGACAGTATTTGGGGTGGACATTTGCGCAATGAGAGAGAGAGAGAGATGTTACACTAAATGATGATGAAGAAAATAGCAAAATAATGATGAATTGTGCTAATTAGTCGTTCTTCTTTCACATTACATAAGTATTATTTCTACTTTCAATTACAGTACAATGGAGTGTCCATTCATATGTCCACTCCTACTTAAATTTCTGTTCATCACATATTGAAAGTATAAGAATTTAATCAGTTTAACACTGATAACATTTACAAATGATGATCAAATGAATTGTTATCATTTTCAGTGTACTTTTTATATTGTATCCAAGAATAAAGATTTTATATGTTAAATTTAATCTTATCTGATAACAGCATTGATTAGGAATAATCAACTGGTCAAGAGATCAAATTTTGAATTAGTTTATGTTCAAAACAGTGCCTTGTGTTTAAATGAAGCTGCTAATGGATACATTAAAGTTAATTAATTAATTAATGAGAAACAGAGTTTTTCTAATGAATAAATGAATATCCTAGCTATTTGGCTGTAATTATTTCAATTTTAAAAAAGAAAATTATGAATGATATTGAAAAAGTCGTCATATCACTGATATGATAAGTTTGAAAAAGTGAAAAAAAAAAGAATTACTTACACCTGGACGTTTCCATATGATATCAATTTCTGGATTAATTGGTCTCAAAAATAAAGAATCATTGGTAGGCGGAAATTGAACATCCACAAAAAGCTGTTTCTTTCGAATACATTCCGCTTTTAGACGTTGATAATTTTGCGCATGAAAGTATTGTTTTCCCATTACGGTGACGTTAGTGTGACAATGTTCGCTTTACACCAATCCTTCTTAAAAGATGATGACAAACGATGATGACAATCACCATTACCATTACGACTGTAAATTAGTAATGTGTAATTTTTTGAAGGAACATTAGAAGGGTGTGTTTGTTTACATGTATAAATGCAAAGACAGACGGACGGACAGGCAGACAGACAAACGAACAGACAGACATTGATTTGAACAGAAAAGGTCAACAAATATTTGAAAGCAATTATTTCTATCGTTAAATTTTATTCTACTAAAATTATTCTTTAATATATTTTTGTACAAACGTTTGTTTCTAATTTGATCTATGATCTACCTGAGAAAATATTATATTTACAAGATAAAAGAAAGGTATGTGCAAATTAATTTCATCATAAAAAATATGTGACAAATCTCTTGAAAATTATAACTTGAAATGATTTTTTTTCTTTTTAATAATAACTTAATTAGTAATTGATAACTTTGTCTTTTTCAATCTTTAAAATCATTGCTACTTTATCAGTAATTTTCAAACACATTGAATTAATCAAACATATGAAATGATAGATGCTGATGTTGAGCAAGGATGAAAAAGTACTGTAATATGAAATGTGATAGGTATACTTAATCAGGTTGACAAAATATGACAAGAAATACTGAGGAAAAACAGGTAATAACAAGTTCTCTTTTGTCTGCTCGTCTTTTTCTCTCTCAAATTTTTCATTGTATGAAATTTCGAATTATTTATGAAATATCATTTATATGTAATGCTTCTTGTTAAACATTAATTATAGGATATATTATATTCTATAGGTAGAAATTGAAATACCTGAATTTTTCAGGTATCGATTGAAAAAAAAAGGCAATATATGACAATGTCGAATGTAAATTTGTTTAACAATAAAAATAATACAGGTAAACTGTATGGTGACAAGTTTACTTCTTCAACCTGACCTTTACTGCTATTAAAATTATTCCTTTTCCATAAATGACCTATTGATTTCAATTCAACAAATAACTGCATAAGCTAGAAAAGCAAAAGTAAGTCCCAATCATTAAGGGATGTTTCGGAAGTTTTTTTTTCTTTAGAGATTTTTTTTTCAAAAAAAAGTTTCTTTTTTTTGTCCTACCAGTAGATTTGGTAAATGCACCTCAGATCTGATCCTCATAATCTCATTAATGTTTGAGAATGTTTAATTATAAGGCAACGAGATATCACCAACAAGTTGACAATCCAGAAAACCTTCTTCTTTTCTTTCTTTGTCCTTTTGAACAACGAACATATCACAATCATTTATTGGTACTAGACAGGTATCCGAATATAATTTTGAGATTTTAGCAAACACTCTTTTTTTTCCTTTTTGTGTTAAAATTATTTAACTACAATGAAATGACAGAAAGTATTATGAAGTATTTCATTTCCTTCCCTCATAGGAGTACTAGAATCTGCTAGATATTCCATACTGAAATATTAGGATAGGTAGCACAGGTAGATAATATCAAATATAATTTTGATTTTTTAAGTACTATTTTTGAATTGCCATATTTATAGCTTTTTTTTATTTTAAAATACTTTTTAAACAGCAAAAATTACTGATGAGAAAAGAAGAACGATGACAATAATTTGTGACAGTTTTTTTCTTCAAAAAAAAAAAAGTACAAAATTATTTTGTTATGAACGTCCTTCTCTATTTCAAACGATACGTTAATTTAATTTAATTGGACGAAATTTCTCTATTTTTTAATAATTGTTATTCACATGAAAGAATTTTTTTTTTTGTCAAATGTCATATTTACCTCTGCTATGTCAACAGTGTTGCTTCACATGTCCATTAATCCGGATACAATGATTTACGCATCCGGATTAACTGATATGTGAGGTCTTCATACGAAGACATTAATTTCAAGCATTATTTTACTGATGAGAATCATAAACAACAACGGCAATAAGTACAAATTCTTTGTTGTTGCTTCTGAATCTCTTCAGAAACATGATGGCTTAATACCGAAATTCAAAATATTATCCTGCGCATTTCACTTTTGGTTTTCAATGATTCTTCAGGCAGTGTTGAAAGGGAAGATAAAAGCTATGAATATATTGGATTTACATAAATTTCCTAAAGCATTTCAATTTCCTGGCAGCTATAAATAGAATATGATACAGCGATAAGTTGACTGATTTTCTGCCAATTTAGATTAAAACTTGCTATAGATATGGTCAAATGAACGGATATTTCTTCTGGTTAATGCAAATAGCGTTAATGAAAGTTTAAAGTTTACTGAAAGATAATTCGAAAAAAAAGGACAGTAATTACCTTTAACCTAATAACGCTACACTTCCCTCAAATTTCTCGTCCACTTGGTGACTCATTCAGTGGCAAAAGTTTTGATACATTGTTGATCTTTTATAAATTACCATTAATCAGCTACTTAGCAACGACAAACTTGATAACAACAAAAGCAAAGTCAGTTGTTTTAGAGGACAATGTTTTAGAGGCCATTAATAATCAAATCTTCGGAAAAAAAATATCTATGCTGTAAGACATATGTCAGCCTCAGTGTAAGATGACATTCGTGATCTTTGATGAATTAAAGCACATCCACAACAAAAATTTAGTCCGAAAATTTTCTGTTTCGCTATTTCGCTATTTCCGCTTTTTCCTATTTCTATTTTCCAGCTATTTCGCTATTTCCCAGCTCCTATATAATTTATTGTACAGACTTGACAGTTCTCACTCGTGTGGCTTGGTTTGATTTCTCAATTCGGGATCACGAACTAAAAGTTCAATAAAATGCATGACGACAGTTTCATTTGGTTTAGGTCACTACATTCAAATCTGTCACATCTTTCAACAAAATTAAAAGTAATGAAATTTAAAGATAAGAATGTCTAGCACCCGAATCGCTGCAAAAAATGATTAGAATTACTGCTTGAACACTAGCAACATGAACGGAATTCCCAGCAAAAAGGAATCATCAAGTTCTACGACGATAATTCTAGAAAACAAAAATGGCTTGGATGACAAAATTTATTAAATTATTTTTTCTTCTTTATCCTCTTCGCGCTACACGACATTCAACAAAATAACAGATATTATCTATTTATAGTGAGTATTGACAATTTCTAACGATTGTGTCGTGCTAATGCATTATGTGTCGAAACATGAAACGATGAATGCATTTGTACAAACACCCATGATTTTCAACAAAAGCTTTTCAAGACATTCGCATCATCTTATCCATAGATAGTTAATTGTATGTGATTCACAGTTTCTCACCCGTGCGGTTTGATTTCATTTACCAGTTCGGAATCACGAACTTGATTTGATTAGGCATTAGATTTTGGTTTCTTGACATATACATCCGGAATAGGTCGTGCCATTCCTCTCAGTAGCTCCACAGTACTCTGACCCCGCTCTTTACGCTCATATTCGATCATCTGTCGCCAAAATGCTATATTTGGCGATATGAATGGTCTTTTATCCAGTACATCGTAATATGCTTCTCTCAGGCTTAAGCCTTCGTTGAGTACCAATGACATTATACATAGCGATGCAGAACGGCTGATACCAGCTGCACAATAAACTAATATCTTTCCACCCTGTGGAAAAAAAAAACATTTTTTAATGGAAAGTTTAACTTTTTCTCTAAAATTTGAAATATACATCATCCACCACTAACATAAGCGTTACTCTTTCCGCAGTTTTATACCTTAAACTTTTATGACCCTCTCAACAATTATATTTAATGTAGATGAACTCAGTCTTATTATGTAAATCAGCTATCAAATGATAACATTTTTTTGAAATCCTCATAAGTATGCTTATAGTACTCGAAAATACGCAATTATTACAATTGTTACTATCATTCACAATTTCTCTACCTGATCAAATTTCGTAACGACAAAAATATCAGGTCGAAGTACATAAAATGCAAAAAATGCTTCGCTTGAAAATTATATTCCAATACCTTTTTTTGTGCATTCTGAATAAACTTTGCAGCACTGTCAAAATGAGGAGTAAGTTTGGCGATCAGTGAATCATCTACCATAATATCCAGAAATTCGATTCCTTCATAATGCGGATTATTCGGAAGATTGGTAGCATCAATTATGTGTGTTATCCCAAGATCTCGCAGTTTCTGGAATGAATATATGAAAACATCTGCGGAAGGCACTATAAAAACGACAGTTTTCTAATTGTTTCAAATTCTGAAACAAACATTTCTATATAAGTGCAATAATCAGTACATTGCTTTAGGATGTAACAGCATTTTCCTTCTATCCAGCTTTTCAGAAAAATACACTTCTTAAGTCGTAAATATATCGCAAATACATTATTTTTTAATATTAGCAAGCTGAAATGAAATATCTTCTCATAAGTTTTTTTTTGCCAATTACAATTTCTTACTTACTTCAGTCCAGACTTTCAATTTTAGTGAATCTTTATTTTATAAATGTACCATCAAGAGATGAATATCAGTCAACTGCCAAATTTTTAAAAAACCAGGTGACGGTCCTAGCTTATCAAACCATAAAGAAATCCATTATTTGAGAGATATTACAATAATACCGACTATCATGTCGAAAAAAATCCACTATTTGAGAAAATATTAGCAGCACTACGGATATAAAATGTATTTTTAAATTCGAAAAGAAAAAAAAATGGAATGATAGCCTCTAATTCATATTTCAAAGAAATTCTTTTCTATAATATTGTTCTTTTTGCCTTATACTACTTCGAATTTTAATTTGCTCTCTACTCGACACCATCATTAATTTCTTTCCAATTATTGTTATTCAAACTAATTAATACTTTTCCTCTTACTCTAACAGGCCTCTGAGGATCTGACGAGTTTTATTCCTGTCCTACGGTAATTCTGAATCAATATATAACTACTGAATTATGAGAGGAAAATTCTTTCGATTTTTATTCAAAAAAAAATCATGCAATAGAGATAAACGTAAAATTTCATGGCAGTGTAATGAATCCGATATTTAAAGCAATCAATTCCTAAAATATGATATTTCTGATTAAATGAATTCGTAGGAGATCACCAAAAATGCCCAATGATTCGCTTTTGATGACAATTGCAGTATTTCAGTAACAAAGGCTCACCTTCTCTGTAATACAGCCAAAACCACTCAAGTACAGATATGGTCGCACTTCCGAAATATCGCACAATTTCGAAGTAACCATGTTTTGTGATTCCTCCCTCATATGTCACTTATATATGCACTCAAACAGTGGGTTTTAATTTCCTTTTATTTTTTGTGTACTACTTATTCAATAGTATCAAAACATCCTTTGACCTAAAAATAACAAAATAAATATATCTATACTTATTTAACTTCAATTATATGATGAACAGGAATCATAGAAAAGATTTATATTATACGAAATCAGCCGTCAAATCATTCTAATAACAGACAGCTGCATGATCAATAGAATTGTTTCTGTTGTTTCTGAGAGAAAGATCAAAAGAAGAAAAGAAAGACTGCTGCTGTTGCTACTGCTCACATAAACCATAAACATCAAGCTGTAATAGAATGAAACGACCCGAATGTTTGCACATCAGTAATGTTAACTGAAAAATATCACCAAAAGCACCACATTTCCTAACTCTCTCTATTGTTCAAATGAACCAGTTCTTTTCATGTCATGTCTAAAACGAGTGAAAGGAAATTTTTAGTAAATTCAGAAAACTGAAAGGTTGAATATCTTCAAAAAGAAACCTAAAGACGTTCCAGAAAAAGAGCTAAAGATTTCCCTAAAAAGTTATATGCGCTCCTTGATTTCTTCAGTAAATAAACGATCGGTCTTCACATTTTCAAATCGATAACTTGTCCTTGAATTCGCACCATCATTTTTTATACTTTCTTTATGTTCAGGTCCACCGAGATAAAAAGCTAGTACAGAGTTGGCTGATAGACATTCTCTCTGTCTTTGTCATCTACAACATTTACAAGGACAGGTGATCGCATCATACTCAAACGAGGGGATTTGTAGTCAATTTTGTCATAGCACTCAAGAAATTTGTATTTTTTGATAGAACATGAAAGGAAGGGGGGAGGGGAATATGATTCGTTTTCAAGACAGATCTAGCAAGGTCACGAGTCAATATATACATAAGACATTAGAATCCAATCGTTGGACTTCACATCCACATTTGTGCTCATATCAGCGGAAGAGGTAAGGTAAAATGAGGTGAGGTTTTTCGATTAAATTACAGGAATAAGTAATAAATTAAAATCCGAATTCAGCAAACTTCAGAATTTATTCAACTGGAAATTACACGCGTATTTACAAAGAATTAGAAATTGATTTCGAAAGGGAAAACAAACACTGTACTTGTCATTCCAGTTAAAATATATTTATATTGAAATTTGACAGTTATTTGACAGTTACTCAACATTTATTTCTCCTTTCTGAATTTTTAAAATAAATAATGGCCAACATAACTCTATTAGCGACAACGGAAGATAGATCTCTTTCGATTCCTCTCTTTTAATTGAAAGTGTGTTTAAGGGATTACAGTTTCTGCATAAAACGAAATCTTTCTTAAGAATACGATGGTAAGTATTCCCGAAGAAGAAGAAAGAGGTCAAGTATTGTTGAAGATAGGAAATAGTCAAGTATTCGTGTAATGGAGGATAGAATCAAGTACTCCTGAGATTGAGAAGAAATCCAATATTTATAGACTGAGGAAGGGGTTAAGTACTCCAAAAATGAGGATGAAGAGAGAAGTAAGAAATAAACGAAGTAGAGTTAATATTAATTATGGATAATTGGAAAGTGAATTATTGGAATTATCCCCAGTCAAATACATCCCAGTAGTATTTTATAATTCATCTGAACCCGGGTTCAAAGGTCTCGGCTACTTCCTTTGCCAATGGACTGTCCCAAGTAAGTATCCACGTACACCTAATAAAGTACCAAACTGAAAGGTACTAGAAATGAAATCTTCAGTTTACGGACGGACGAAACAATATGGTTCTTTGCGGTGCGTCCTACGTGATTTTGTTACGTGGAGCGGTTTGGAACGTTTGTCGAAGTGCATTAAAAAAATATGCGTGGAAAATATGCGTGGGATGCTTTTTTCACGTGTACTTTTTAGTGCACTTTGTAGTGTGTATGATATAATAATCCCATAAAGTTGTCTTTTTAAGATACATAACTTAATTAATTCAATTTTTTATTTGATTTTTTCAATTAATTTTTTTACCTTACCTTTTTTTTATTTCAGTTTAACATTTTTTCTTTCCAAGTCTGAATTAAACGTGACACGTTGCGGGCGTATGTCGGTCACGTTGCAGACAACGTTGGGTGATATCAAAATCGAATTGTATTGCGATTTATGTCCGAAGACGTGTGAAGTGAGTTATCATTGTCTAATTACAAGATATAGTAACGTATTTCAAACATTTTCTACATTTTATGTTTCTTTTTTAAGGAATGTGTCTTGTGCTACGCATGACTTTGTTGCATGCATATGATTATTACACGTTATTCCACTGGATACGTGATCCTACTCTGTACATGATTACATGTAATCATGTTACATGCACATAACTTCTTTTGACATGAAATTGTTGTGCGACTCTATCATGATACAGTGTTATCTGTGGAAAGTCATTTTTTGAAGTTTATCTGACCTATTTCTGTTCTTTTTAGCATTAAATTACCAATTTGCAGAATTTCTTGGCATTGTGCGCAAGCGGTTATTACGATAACTGCATTTTTCATCGTAATATTAAAGATTTTATGGTACAAACTGGTGACCCAACTGGTACAGGTAAAGGAGGTGACAGTATTTGGGGTGGGCCAATTGAGGACGAATTAAACACAACCTTGAAGGTATGCTCATGCTGTTTATATGTTTTAACACTGGCTTCATTCATTTTTGCTGCAGTATCTTTTTGTCAATTTTCTTAATGATTTAATTTTTGAGTTGTAAAAGTGAAAACCATGTTTTTGATATCTCAATATATCATTGCAGCACGACGCCAGAGGCGTTGTGTCTATGGCTGGTAACGGACCAAATACAAGTCGATCGCAGTTTTTCATCACATACGCAAAACATCCAACACTGGACTTGAAGTATACTGTTTTCGGGCGGTCTGTTTTGCTTTTGTTGTAATTTTTACTTTTGATATGTACAGTTTTATTAATGTTTCTTATTTTTTGCCAATATCGTGCTTATTTTGTTAAATTCATATTATTTGCAGCGTAATAGACGGATTTGACACCTTGGACGAGTTGGAGAAAGTCAAAGTTGACGCCAAATATCGACCAGTTGTTGAACAAAAAATTCAAAATGTTATCATCCACGCTAATCCGATTGCCGACATGGCGACCAATTCTTAAAATCAGTCGTTTGAGTCACGTTTCAATATACGATACTGCACATCATCATTTTACTTTTGCTTCTTTACGGCTGATCAAAAACAGATCAACAAATTTTCATCTTACAAATAGAACTGTGTTACGGCATTTAACCGATGCAAAAGATGTGGAGCTATCGAGACCCGATGAAAAACATCCGATCGAAGTAGAAAAACAAATTGATTTGGAAAGAATTCGAGAAATGCAGAAGTATTTCGAGCAGTATACCGAGGAATATGTTGAGATGGAGACTGAATCGGAAACTCCGTGCGAAATTATATCGAAGTCAGGTATGTGTGTCCTTACTTTTGACTCAGAATTCCACATCAGTCGGCATCGATTTATAATTTTAGAACGAATGGTATGTTTCGAAACAGACCTGTTCTTTAAGGCAGCCGGAAATATTAAACTGGTGTTTGTCATATTTTTACTGTCATTAACGATTCCTTCGTTTTCGTTTATTATAATTGTTTATTTAACCATGTTTCGTATAGTGTGAGATGACCTATGTAACTTCTATGTTTCATTTAACTTTTTACTTATTGCAGATCGCTTACGTCAACGTCTTGAACCGTTGCTAGACTTCGAACAAGATTCTTCATCGAGTCCGTTTAGTGTGAAGGAAATTGTGGACATACTCCGCGCTGAACGCTCCGAAGATATCGTTTGCATCAAAGTACCTATAAATGACAAACATGAGAGATATATTATTATTTGCACTCCTCATAATATGAGGCATGGTGAGGCTATGGTGCTTGCTATACGGAAATGTTTCAAACTTAAGAATAATGAGGTTTGTTGTGCTGCATTTCTATCTCATTTCTATGATTCATTTTTTCAAAAACTGAAATACGACCTGACTTCATAGAACAGTTTTATAGAGATTTAAATAGAATTGATTTTGGGGTAATTTTTGGTATTTTCGGTACTTCCTTATCTCTATTGTGTGGGTATTTTGCTTGTTTTTTAGAATATAAATGAAGAATTTACTTCCCTATCTTTCTTTATTTAAAAATAATAAAGAACTTTCAGAAGATGCAATTCTAGTAGCTGCAGTAAAAGTACCGTTTCTGTCTGCATGTTGTCATTAACTCTTTATTATAGATATTGTATCTCTAGTCGCGTCAGTGTCACGGTGTTTTTCTCTCTAAAAATTCCTAATAAAAGAACTTTCGAATTTTAAGGTGCAGCCACCGAAAAAGGCGAAAGTTGGCCGATGGTTGTGTTACACTTTCGAGAATATCTCAATACATATAATGACCCGTGAAGCGCGACTCAAATATGATCTTGAAGGCCTTTGGGGTATCGGATGGATGGAGACATTGGAAGATGAAGTCGATCTTCCAAATCCACAATTTCCAATACCTTCTGCTAGTTAGGCAGTTTTTTACGTTTGTATTTTTCTTATTTGTTGTGTTGATAAATGAATAAATTTGAACAGAAACTATTATGCTTTATTTGAATACTAAAAGTTTAGAGTTTGGTTTTTCATGTTGCGCCTTAACAGTATTTGACAGATGCAAGAGTGCGGGTGCGTGTATCTGTTATTTACAGGTTCCAATCGAGAATAAATGTAGCTTCAGTTTGAAACAACTGAAGAGTTAGCAGACATGTATGTTCTGACAGTTCTATTATATGTTATGGAAAAAAGTAGAACTGCAACTGTTCTTAATATATTTTATGTTTCATTCTGATCTGGCTAGAAACATTTCATCTATTTTACTTGTATCGAATTTGAAGAAGTTGTTGTGTCGGGTTAAAGCTTCTTTCAAGTAAGCTTTGATATTGCTTTCTCACTTTCTCTGAATTTCACAAAGAGAAGGAAAAGAAGGAACGGGACGCTATTGTTAAATTATGATGGAAAGGATTCGTTTGTTGGTTTGAATAAGTAAAATGCGTTCGATACGCCTGATTGCAGTAAAGGTCGTAATTGAGAAGTGTGGTATACTTGGCATAAGACAAGGACTCATCAAACGAAATAAGCATCAGAGCTTCAGCTATAAACGACATAAAAGTCAAAAATATGCTTTCCAACTCTGAGATCATTTTTTAAGTGGTGAGAAAGTAAATGTGTTTCGTGGATTAATTCCCTATTAAGATAAAAATCTGATCCTTTAAAGCTTAACCTCGTTGATGGAATTC